GGACCCGGTGGCTTAAAACTCACGCCGGGCGCGTGTGCGTGCGTGCCCAAGATCCCGAGAGGAGAATGGAGGAGAAGGGATTGCGGCGTGACCATCCCCCCTGGGGGGTGATTTCTCGCTTTCTGTCTCTATGTCTCTCTCTGTCTGTCTGGCGAGCGCACGCGCCCTACAGTGAAAATCTCTCCCCCCCCCAAAAAAAAAGAAAAAAGAAACTAAATCCACCCACGGAGCTTCTGATCCTTCTGCTCACGGTCTTCCCCAGCCTTAAAAGTCCAACTGAAGTCTGGAGCTGCCAGGTGGCATGAAGGTTGAGGAAGCCGGATCTCATTGCTGGATGTGGGTTCAAGTCCCAAACCAAGCGACTTGCAACTCATGTTAGGTGTGTGTATGCACGTGCCCAAAATTTCAAAAGGAGAATGGAGGAGAAGGGACTTTGGTGTCGCCATCCTCCTGGCGTGGGGGTGACTTCTCATTTTCTCTCTCTGTCTCTGTCTCTATCCGACAAGTATATATGCCCTATATTAGAAACTAAAGAGAAAAGTAGAGGGATCAGCAGTTAGCATAATGTCTATGTCGCTGGACTCCCATGTAGTCGACTGCAGTTTGAGTCTTGGACCTGGTGGCTTGTGCGTGCGTGCCCAAGATCCCGAGAGGAGAATGAAGGAGAAGGGATTGTGGCGTGGCCATGCCCCCTGGGGGGTGATTTCTCACTTTCTGTCTCTCTGTCTCTCTCTCTTTCTGGCGAGCGCACACGCCCTATAGCAAAAGCCTCTTCAAAAACCTATAGTGAGGCACGGCCCATCCTCAGTGGTACAGCAACTGAAACCTTCATCTTTCTTTGGCTACTTCCGGTTTAATAGCTGAATGGCCTTCCTTCTACACCCCACCCCCACACAGAAAGGTCTCTCTGAGTCCTATCCCACTAATTGTCACTGTGACCTTATTCAAAAATGAGATCTCTGCAGGTGTGCGAGGATTCTAAGTTAAGGATCGCAAGATAAGATCTTCCCAGACTAGGGCGTCTCTAAATCTAATGACTGGTGTCTTTAGAAGAGAAAGGTGGAGACCAGCAGGTGGCGTAGTGGTTAAGGTGCTGGACACTCCCACATGGCTGACCATGGTTTGAGTCCCGGACCTGGTGGCTTACTTTCTCACCTCTCTCTCTCTGGTCAAATTAAAAATAAATAAATGAGTGGATAAATAAATAAATAAATAAAAATTAAAAAAAATCTTTTTTTAAAAAATGACAAAGGCGAGGAGGACTCAGGGGCAGAGACTGGACTTCTGTTGCCACAAGCCCAGGAACACCCGGAGCTACCAGGAGCTGGAAGAGGCCAGGAAGGATCCCCTAGAGCCTCGGGAGGAAGCGGGACGCTGCCAACACCCTGGTGCCGAGCTCCTGGGCTCTAGGACAGGGAGGGAATGTGTTGCTGCCACAGCCCCTGCCTTCGTGGTAACGGACTCGGCTCCATTTGGGCCCCCTTCTTTGGAACGCCTCCTGCTTTCCTCACATAGATCTGCCCACGTCCCTCCCCACTTAACACCCCGCTGGCTCTGTGTCATGGGTGGGCCAGAGTTCACGTTCCTCCCCAGACCGGCCTGAGGCCTGATCCGCGGAGCTCGCCTCCCAGCCTCTTCTGCTGGTCTACTTCGGCCCTACAGGCCGGGCTCTCTCACACACCTCTTCCCCGGGGCACTCCGTTCTGTGGACACGCTCTCTCGACCATTTTGCATCCTAATCCTCCTGACTGGGCTGCAGGGGTGTTTCTTTTTCTTTCTTTCTTTTTCTTTTTTTTTTGGAGAGGTTTTTGCTATAGGGCGTGTGCTGGCCAAAAAGACAGATAGAGAGACAGAAAGCGAGAAATCACCCCCCAGGGGGATGGCCACGCCGTAATCCCTTCTCCTCCATTCTCCTCTCGGGACCTTGGGCACGCCCGGCATGAGTTACGCCGCCAGGTCTGGGAGTCGAACCACGGTCGACTACATGGGAGTCCAGCGACACAGCCATTACGCCAACTGCTGGTCCCCAGTGGTGTTTCTTGAGGGCAGGACTGGTGGTGTATTCTTTTTGGATTCCCTAGAACCCAGTCCTAGTGCCTGTTCCTGACAAGTGTCCCTCACATGTCTGTGAAGGGAAGATGAAATATAGAAGTTAAGGCCAGCAGTTGGCGCGGTGTTTACGGTGCTGGTCTCCCACGTGGTAGACTGTGGTTCAAGTCCTGGACCCAGCAGCTTAAAACTCATGCTGGGCACATGTGTGTGTGTGTGTGTGTGTGTGTGTGTGTGTGTGCCCAAGATCCCGAGAGGAGAATGGAGGAGAAGGGACTGTGGTGTGGCCATCCTTCCTGGGGGGTGATTTCTCACTTTCTGTCTCTCTGGTGAGCACATGAACTCTATAGCAAAATTGTTTTCTTTTTAAGAATTATTTATTGGGAACCAGGAGTTAGCGTAATGGCTATGTTGCTGGACTCCCACGTAGTCGACCGCAGTTCGCGTCCCCGACCCGGTGGCTTAAAACTCACGCCGGGCGCGTGTGCGTGCATGCCCCAGATCCCGAGAGGAGAATGGAGAAGGGATTGCGGCATGGCCATCCTTCCTGGGGGGTGATTTCTCGCTTTCTGTCTCTCTGTCTCTGTCTTTCTGGCCAGCACACGCCCTATAGCAAAAACCTCTCCAAAAAAAAGAGAGAGAGAAGGAAAGTGAGAAAGCCAGCTACCAGGTCAGGGACTTGAATGGCAGCCTGCTGTGGGAGTCCAGTGGCTCATTCACCACGCCACCCGCTGGCCCCTCTAAAAATCTCTTAAGGAAGAAATTCAGCAGTTAGGGCTAGCAGATGACACGGTGAGTAAGGCCCACATAGCTGACTGCACAGTTCAAGTCCTGGATCTGGCAGCTTGAAAAACATGCCAGGCGCATGCATGTCTGTGCCCAAGACCCAAGAGGAGAATGGAGGAGAAGAGATTGCGGTATGGCTAACCCCCCGGGGGATGAGTTCTCACTTTCCCTCTCTCTCTCTAGCTTTCTTTCTCTCTGGTGAGCACACATGCCCTATAGCAAACTAAAAAATAATAATGATACGGTTTTTAAGAAGTTAAAGGAGAAGTTCATTGTTTCAGGGTGGACAAACCTTTGCAGGATGCTCTGTCTTGGGCATTCCCAGTCGCTGACCGAAGGCTTCCTTTTATCTCCTATGAGAGGTCAAGGCTCTGTCTCCCTTGTGAGGGTTTGCCTAAGAATCTGATGGGCCTGGCTGCTCCTGTATCCACCCATGCCTGTCCTCCTCCTTCCCTCTGTGCTTCTGCTCCTGAGCACTGGGGACCCTGCCCAGCCCTACCTGCCACATACCTGGGCCTGCCGGGTCTTCTCCAGCCACCGAGCACGGTCTGCAGGGCTGGAGCAGTGCACGATGAGGGCACTGGCCACACACTGGAATTCGGTGAGGTGGATCACCAGGAAGCTGCCTGGGGGTGTGGGGAGGGACCTGCTTCAGGCGCCAGGCCTTCTCTGCGCCCCATCCCTACCCCTCCTTCCTCTCGCCAAACAAAAGGCAGCAGGAACAGTCTTCCTGCGGGAGGACGGGAGGACGGGAGGACGGGAGGACGTACTAGGGTCTCGCAGGGTTCTGAACACGAGCTTCTCCAGCATGAGCGGGGGGCGGATGACCTTGGCTCTGTCTGCCTTGCGTTGAGGCTTGGTCACCAGGAGCACGTCGGAGAAGAGGAACAGGTACACGTCCAGCTAGGGGTGGGGCGCAGGAGAGAGGGGTCAGCTGGAGCAAGGGGCAGGTTCACACGTGGCTGTGCACAGGGGCGTACGCGCGCACAGGGACGCTCGCTGGGACTGGAGGGGGCGGACACGCCAGGTTGGAACGACTCCAGGTCGGAACGACTCCAGGTTGGAGCTGGCTCTTGCTATGCAGGTGAAGAAGTGGCTGACTCAAGGTCATCGGAACCACCAGAGCCTGGGTGGAACCACGTCCTCCTCCGACACACACACACACACACACACACACACACACACACCCTCCCGCTCCCAGCTCCTCCCCTCCTGCCCTGCCTCCCACCATGCCTCCCTCCTCACTCTTCTGTTCCTCTCCCATCTTCCAGCTCCTCCCGTAGCGCCCTCACCTTCCCTTCCCGCCCCTCCTTCACACGTGCAGGTCCCTCCAGCAGCAGCTGCCTGGTGTGCTCGGGCCCGACCCCCTGCATGGGTGATGTCAGGTCCAGGCTGGAGAACGGGCGCAGGCTCTGAGAGACACAGGGAGAGGATCGGGGCCTGGACAGGCTGGCCTCTACGTCCCAGTCAAGGGCGTTCCTCGTGCTGCCACAGCACCTTCTCTGTCCGTCCTTCCTTCCTCACGCCTCTCCTGAGCTCTGCCCCTCAGCCCAGCACGGGAGGAAGGAGGGCGCAGAGGTAACGCACCTGGGCCCACGTGGGAAAGGTCCTGGGTTTGTGTCCCACGGCCTGCACCCTGGGCATGGGCACCCACCCGTCCCATCCAAGGGTGGGGGTCCTGACCTCTGCCCGCCCCCACCTTTTGCTTGGCCCGTCTCCAGGGGCCTGGCCGGGCCTCCCCCGCTCCCTCGCACCTTCTCCACCTCCTCGCTAGGCGGCTCCAGGACGTCGTAGGGGCCGATGCGCTGGGCCGTGGCCACCAGGCTCTCCTGCTCCTCGCCCTGGCGGACCCGCCCATTGATGTACTGCAGGAAGGACTCCACGGCCCTGATCTGGGTGGGACGGGGTGCCGCTCAGCCCCTACCCCGACGCCCAGAGCAGGCCGAGCGCTGGGTGCCTCACGCTCTTACACACGTGGGGAGAGAACCTGCAGTGTCCCTGGAGAGCGGGTCCCACCTCCCAGCCTCTGCCCCGACGGTCCTCCCCGCCGGGGCACCTACCATGGCCAGCAGGGCCTGGCGGGCGGGTGGCTCGGGGCTCCTCTTGAGCACGGCCTGCAGCAGCAGGGGGTACTTGGTGACGCGCTGCTGGGGCTTGATGAGCAGGTCACCCAGCATCTGCCTCCCTGAGCGCTTGTGCTTCTCACACCACTGCCGGGAGGGGGTGGGCTCAGGTGCTGCTGGCGCCCTCCTCCCCCATCCCAGAGACAGACAGCCTCGGCCCGCAGGAGACAGGGTGACGCGGGTGTCTGGACTGCACCCACCCCCTCCCAGGTCATACGAACCATCAGAGCTCAGCTGGAGCCATGTCGTCCTCCAACACACGCGCACACACGCGCACACACACACATCCCTCTCTCCTGTTACCACTGTGCCCCCCTCTCCCACCTGCACGAAGGTATGGAAGAGAGGGTTCGTGTCTTGCTGCTTCCGGGCGTAAGCCATGGTCTGCTTCACTTGCATGCAGTACTGGACATAGGGCTGGAACCGCTGGTCAAACTGGAGGACAGACACGGGGGGGATGGGCAGGGGAAGCGTACCGGAGCAGGT